CCAAGTCGGCATTCGACGGCATTCTTGCCATTGTGGACCATTGCACCAAGTCCGCCAATTTTCTTCCATGTCGGAATCACACCAAAGCTCTGGAGCTGGCGGATGTTCTTCACACGAGCTGAATATGTTCCAAAGGGTTTCCTAAGGACATCGTTTGCAATCGCAACACCCGTTTAATGTACGGCTTTTGGACATGGCTACTGAAGCACGTGGGGGCTTCTCTTAAGTCAAATTTTCCTTGCCATTCGCAGACAGAGAGACAGACGGAGAGAGCACATCAGATGACGCAAGCCATGCTCTGCGCACTCGTTCGCCCACACCAAAAGGATCGGGCTGAGCATATTCAGGACATCTAGTTGGCTTACAACACATCTGGTCATCCGGCCATCGGCACGTCTTCTTTCAAGCTTGAGAATAGCCACTTCGCCAATTTTCCTGTAAAATCACTTCTTCTGCATGCAGCTATGTCTGATGACCCTGACCCCTTCATTCACAGGATGCAGGAACTTATTTTCAAAGCCCGGGACAGGATGCAGAAAGCACAGCAGCGCATGCAGCAGCAAGCTAATAAGCATCACCTAGGCAATCTCGTTTGAGTGTCCACCGAGGAGTTCAGTTTGGAGCAAGAAATTTCCCGCAAACTACTCCCTGAAGGGGTTTCGACCTTGGCAGATTCTGTCTACAGCCGATAACAAACCGGGCGAGCCTTCTTTTGTGATTAGTGTACCATCTCACCTCCCCGTACATCCGGTGTATCTAAGCTTACTCCTTTCATTTCCACAGAGCAAGATGATTTTCCTGAACGACGTTCGCAGAATCCTCCTCCTATGGCCAAGTTCCAAAAGATGGCACACATCATCACACATTGGCATCACAGCAACAAGCCCATGCAGCATCTCGTGCACTTCAACTGCTGCTTCCAATGCGCCAATCGTTGGATGACCAGCGATGAGCTTCAGGGCCCGGCCAAGGATATCCTAACCATCTCTGACCGTGAGAGACGCTCATCAGCCTCCTGACGTCCAACCCTCCCGCCTGGCCCCAGTTTAAACTCCCCCTTCAGATCGCTAACTTCAGCCTGGTGGGGCTGAGCTTCTTAAGCAAGGGGGGGTGTAGCATGCCTGGAGCCTCCTACATGGGCCCTTAGGTTCGACATGGTATGTAGGGCCCTTGATTTCATTTCAGGCAGGAGTGTGGGTACTGCCCTCAGCCCAATATCATTTGTCTTAAATTCCGGGCAGGAGTGTGGGTATTTTGTCTGTTATGAGCCTAGGTGTGTTGTCTTTGTCCGTCCTCTGTCCAGCTTGCTCTGCTTTTATCTCAGCCAGGTGTGTGGTTGTTTTGTCTGTCCTGAGTCCAGTCGCATGTGTTTTTGTTTGTTCTCAATGTAGTGGAGCTAGTGATTAGCCCTCTGGGAAGTAGAGCAGAGTGAGAGGTGAGGTGGATGAGGCCACTCACCTGGTGCCATATCCATGGGGGTCTGCCGCCAGCCATAGTTGGTCTTCATCTTCTTCGAGACACCTGCAGTCATCAGCGGCTCAAGGCCCTACCTTTCACCGATCAGTATCCGTTCCATGAGAGAGGCAGGGAGACTTCCACATTTCTCCTCCTGCTCCTCTCTCTCTCTCTCTCTCTCTCTCTCTCTCTCTCTCTCTCTCTCTCTCTCTCTCTCTCTCTCTCTCTCTCCTCTGTGTTTGGGGGGCGAGAGGGGCGTGCATGGCAATACGTGCATCGCATTATTCGCTCCCTGCCTGCCCGTCTGTCAGCACAGGTTGTTTCCCTTTTGACTTTGGATCTTAGGACCCAAAGTCTGTCTGCAAAATGCTCAGTTGCCAGTATTCAGAGTTTCATCCGGGTTTTGTCGAGCTTTACGCCACCCTTACCCATGGAATGCTCCACCTCATGCAATGAAGATAAGACGTTCTACCTTAAACCGGCCAGTACACAGCCCAGCCTTGCTGAAAAAGAAACTTGTAGCCTACCAAAATTTCGGAGGCTCGGCCTACCGGACCACGATGGTTGGCAGCGCCAGCCAAAAAAAGAAAAAAAGTGCACCGCTGGCGACGTGGAAAAGCTTGGCGCGCAGTAAGGGGCCTGCAGGCCCGGGTGTACTGGTGGTTTAAACCGCCCGTACACAGCCCCCACCTTGCTAAAAGAAACTCGTCACCTGTCCGAAACATTCGGGGCCCGTGTGCTGTCGATAAAAAACATCGGCGGCCGATGTCGCATTTTGACGGCCCCGCGGCCGATGTGTGGCATGTACTGGTGGTTTAATGGATTCCCTGGAAAACCAGCTATCTCCGAGTTTGATTGGCCTTGCCAATCATCTCTAGCTTTCACTAGACGTTGGATTATACCTTTTTCTCACCTCGTGAGCGGAAGGCGCAAAGCATCATACGTCAATGCATTCCATATACATTCAAATGCTAGATCCAATCAATAAATTTTCGATTAGGAATCAATAAATTTTTCGATTAGGGTCTAACTAGATCTGGTCATTCCTTGAAATTAAATCATTGAGCCGTTCAGTATGGGGTCTATAACAGAGCTCGTTGTCACCCATTCAGCTGTCCGTCCGTTTCTCTCTCTCTCTCTCTCTCTCTCTCTCTCTCTCTCTCTCTCTCTCTCTCTCTCTCTCTCTCTGAGTGTATGTGTGTGTGTATGACGATGTGTGTGTTGTTAAAGCACCCCAAATTCTCTCTCTCATTTCCTCCACAAATCATAACAAACCATCCAATAACGAAAAAGTATAGATAGACAATATAATAGAAAATGCAAGGTTGACCACATTTGTGTGGTTCAGCGCCGCGTGCCCACACACCTGGCTGCCGCCGAAGCGGCACACTTGCACATATACATATAGAGTGTATTTTTTGGCTGTGACAGACCTTTCTTTGTTTCGTGGATGTTTTGCTGGCTTGTGATAGGGTGTGAACCGACAGTCTGTAGAGTTTTTCATCTGGTGTGGGTGAGTGATAGTCTACTTTGATTTTGGTTAAGGTAGATTATCATTTACAGTGTAATCAGTGATGGGATTCTGCAGACTGTTGAGGGTTCAGCCTCCTGATGAGTCGGTGAAACTCCGAC